GAATTGTTGGTTGTAACAAGGTTGCTTTATGGTCACGTGGATTCCGAAATTCAGCACATGAAAAGTCAGCTGGAGTACTTGCATGATGCTCTAAAAGAGGTAAAGGAGGTGAACCGGGAATTGTACTATTCGCTTCCCAAACAGCAAGAGAAGGTTGCGAGCAATCTCAATCTTATACTGAAGGTATGAAAGTTTTATGTGACCGTTTTGAAGTGAAACAAGTGCCCTCGTATGCTAGTATGTTAAAAGTGTCATTGCCTTTGTTTTATGGTTGCGATAGAGACTATGATACTTGGGAAAAGAGCATTGAGAATTTGTTTGTATTGGTTAGCATTGAAAAGGAGAGTGAGAAAATAGCCTTAGCCGTATGTTATTTTCATTCTAGTGCTTTGAATTGTTGGAAGCTAGTATCAAATATCTATTCGCGTCATTGGTATCATAGTTGTGATGATTGGCATGAATTGAGAAATGCTTTGCGAGAAAGATATGTTGGTTCTAACTCCTTTGAAGAGGCGAAAATGAAGTTGCTCGAGTGTAAGCAGAATGGTAGATCCATTCAATCTTATTATGAAGAACTAGAAGTCGTGTTGCTGAGCTCCAATGTGGATGAAAACGATTACATGTTGACAGATTGTTTCTTCTATGGGTTGGACAAGGAGTATAAACAGAACCCGAAGATAAGATAGCAATCAAGGCTCTATGAGGCGTACTTTACTGCCTTGGAGGTGGAGAAAGAGCATGATGCTTCTTGTTGTTAGAATGGTTCCGTTGGGTACCAAGGGTTGGTGTTTGGCACTGACGGTGGTGATCAAAGGACATGTATCTTCGGTACCAAGTGTTCGGTTGGGTGGTCCGATGACGTTGACTTAGTAATCGATGGTGGGTCGAGTACTAATTGTGTTAGTGAAGAGTTTTGCATGACGCATGGAATGAGAATGGATCCGCATACTAATCCATATGCGCTACAATGGGTGAGTGAGGACATAGTGGTGGATGTCACTAAAAAGGTTGTGGTTACCTTTCAAATTGGTGAGTATAGGGACGAACTTTACTTTGATGTAGTTCCTATGACGTTGTGTGATATTTTGCTAGGTAGGCCTTGCCAGAAGGACTTAGATGTTGTGCATTACAGATCAAAGAATGTCATTGTCTTTACTAAGGATGACATTAGACACATTCTTAAGCCTTTGGCTTATGAGGATGCTGAAAATGTGCGAGAGAAAAGACATAAGATATCCTATACACAGGGGAGAGAAAAAGTCAAGAGAGTTATGCAAGAAAGTAAAAATGGTCATGCTGAGACACGATCGAGGGGCTTGCGTAAGACCATAGAGAGTCTGATTGAGTTTACAAACATAATCAGGATGCTGATGATGGACAAACCCGGGAGGCTGTTTCATATACACAGATTGTAAGAGACCATTAAGGAAAGCATTCTTCACATCAAGTTGATGAATAGGCCAGTTACGAGAGAGAGCAAGAGTCAAGACTGTGTGAATAGTAGCCGAACGAATAACTAGACTATAAGTTTCACCAACATCAACACCTGGTCGGTGAGAGTACCCCTGAGCTACAAGTCTTGCTTTGTAGCGATCTAAAGATCCATCAGCTTTCTCTTTAACACGAAAAACCCATTTGGAGCTAACTCCATTAACTCCACGAGGTTTGGGAACAAGAGCCAGGTGTCATTATGAGACAAGGCAGCAATTTCATCATTCATTTCTTCCTGCCACTCATCATGCTTCACAGTTTCATGAAATGTAGTAGGTGCCTGCAATGGAGGGTTAGTAACAGAACTCGCTAAATTAAAAATCACCTTGGGTTTGCGAGTACCATCCTTAGTATGAGTGACCATAGGATGATGAATAATGGGGGAAGAAGGAGGACTCAGAAGGGGAGGAGGACTCGAAAAGAGGAGGAGGGGAAGTACATGGAATGGGAGGACTCAAAAGAGAGGAAGGAGAGATAGTAATTGGTGAATGGAGGGTGCTTGGAGGAGGTACAGGCCGAGCACAAGAACTGGAGGAAGAAGGAAAAGACATCGGGAGTAGAGCAGAAGGACCACAGATCTAAGTGGACGAAACAAAGAGGTATATGAAGATGATGAGGAAAAATGGGTGGAAACAAAAGCATAAGGAAATGTATTCTGATCAAATACAACATGACGAGATGTGATGACAACCGAAACGTTCGTAAATGGTCATATGATGGGCGTGCATGATAAAGAACTTCATAAGGAGACTTATGAGATAAGAGCGGTGTAGGAAGATGGTTAAAAAGATAGGTGGCAGTGCTGGGAGCTTCAACCCAAAAAAATGGGAGACATGGATTTTTGAAAGAGTAAGGTACAAATCATATTAACAATAGTACGATTAAGGCGTTCAACCTTACGGTTTTGCTGGGAACAAGAAGTGATATTCAAGCAGAGATGAATGCAATAAGTTTTAAAGAAATTCCAGAATAAGTGATTTTCATATTCTCCACCTTGATCAGATTGAAAACACCGAATAGAGGCATTGAATTGATTTCTGACATTTGCATAAAAGTTAGAAAAATAGGAAAATACATCAGATTTACATCGGAGAGGAAAGACCGAACAATAGTGAGTGAAATCATCCAAGAATGTCACAAAATACTTATAACCAGTAGAAGAGGTAACAGGTAAAAACCAAACATCAGAGTGTATGATTTCAAAAGGGAAAGTAGTACGAGAGGTAGAAGTATCAAAGAGAAACGCACATGCTTCCCAAGTTGACAGGTATGACAAAACGCGAACTGAGAACTAGAGGGGCAACTACAAACAAGAGAACTAGTAATTAATTTATTTAGAACACGATAACCAAGATGCCCCAAACGACGATACCAAAGGAGAGGGCTTGTGCAGTGAGCCGTAAATGCTGCCACCAAGGATTGAAGAGAACAAGGACCAAGGGGATAGAGCGGGCATGGACTATTGCACCGAAGAAGCTTGTTTTTCGTTTTGAGATCTTTAACACAAAACAAAAAGGATCAAATTCCACAGAGCAATTATTATCAGTGGTGAATTTACGAACAGAGATCAAATTTTGTGTAAGGGAGGGAACATGAAGCACATTAGGTAAGGCTAACTGACGATCTTTAGAAGAAATAATACAGGAACCGAGGGATTTAATATCTAGCATAGCACCATTACCAACACATACCTTATCTATACCACTATAAGGTGAAGAAGTAATAAGCTTACCAGAATCATTAGTCATGGTAGCACCAGCTGCAGAGTCAAAATACCATGTTGCGCAGGAGAATGGGAGGCCATAGATGCATTTAAAGCCGGAGAATATGACTGCATGGTACTGGGAACCGAAGGACAAGAACGAGACATGTGACCATAACTCTGACAAGTAAAACACTGAACTGAAGGACAAGAACGAGCCATGTGGCCATAACCCTGACAAGTAAAGCACCGAACCAAATGGTGAAAAGAGGGAGCATGGATATGAGAGCCAGTAAACACCGAAGAAGCAGAAGACTCCACAAGTGTCACATAGAGGTGAAGAGCCACAACAAGAATCAGAATCAGAACCAGAATCGGAACCGAGCCAATGTAGGTGAATTGAACCGAATCGGATGAACCAAACAAAATCAACCAAACCGGACCAAACCAAGCGAACCGGGTCGGTCTGAACCAAGTGAACCAGACTGAACCAGTTGAACCGAATCAGGTCGAACCGGAACCAGAAACCAGCAGAACCGTCAATAACCAGCAGAACCAGATGAAAGGCAGCAGTAGCCAATAATTAGCAACGATGGTGATGATGAAAGGCAGCACGAGCAATCAGCAGCAAGAAAGAGAGAAAGAGCAGCAGCGGCAAACAAGGCGAAGCAAGATATCAACTATCATATCAATGCGGCAGCGAAGCAGCTGTGGCGGCGACAAACAACAACAGCCGCAAAGAACAACAAGAGCGAAAAGCAACGGCAAGAGAAAACAGAAAGCAACAGCGGCGTCGGCGGAATGTAATGAATGACGGCTGACAGCAGCAAAACACAAAGCAGCAGCAGGGATGAACCTTAGCAAAGAAACACGAAGGAGCAGCACTGAAGGAGAGAAAAGAAGCTGCAGCAGTGTGAAGAGAAGAAGATCAACGGCGGCGGAATTGTTTCTGAAACGGATGAATGACAAAGAAGAAGAGGCGGCTGTAAACTCTAGAAAAAAAAATAACACACTTCCCAGAAGAAGGGCTGATACCATGAAAGTGTAAAATCTCTTAGAGTTGTTGTACTGATACGATATATATAGTATAAGTACATGAATATAATTACAACTATAGCCTTATATTAATATACACTAACACTAAAAACATCTTTGATACGAAAAGATATAATTGGTAATTTTTTTAAAACAAAAACCAAGTGGAGGAGCTTTTTGAGTGATATGAACTACGAAGCGGAACAAAAGTTTTAAATAATTTCAGTGTATGAGGGAAGATTAAGAGTCACCGATGATTAGTGAGAGGAGGTAGTTATTGAGATTATTTTGAAAACAATAAACTTGCGAAGTTAGTCTAGGGCTTTTTCTGGGATGGTGATTATCTTTTTATGTTGAATTTTAATCTAGAAAACATATGGAGATAATGTTAGTAATTCTTACATATTTGGAGCCTTCCCAAAGAGGGGCCTAAATGGAGGTGTTGTAGGATTGTGGTTTATGGGCCGACAAGGCATTAAGTACTATTTTCTGTGGTAAAACATGTGGGTATGTCGTTAGCCGGGCGTGGACGGTGACTCTCCAAAGCTATATATTGTAAGATATTGTTTTGACTCATGATCCCACATGGATCATATATGGACTACAGAGTGTATATATCCAGGTAGATACAATAGTTCCTTAATTTTATATTTTTATCCGTAAATTTGTTTGTTTGACAATGCATTTAAATACAGTGAAACTCGGATAAAAAATGATAGTTTAATCATTTATCAATACTCTACCTAACGCATGCATATAGTGCGTACAAGTACTCCCACATTTGGTGCACTTACAGTTCCCTTGCAAGAAAAGAAAAATGGTGATGAAAAAGATAGGAAATGAATCAAGGAAAAAGAACTATTGCAGAGAGACCCGATCTCTTGCTTTGTGGTAATTTTGTATGTATTCTCTATGTTTACATTTTCAATAATCAGTTGTAATTTTTGAAGAAGGAAGCGACTTGATTGTAAACAACATCCTTGGCTGTAACACCCATGATGAAGTCGAGATGACCATAGTCCTCGACGTACTGGACGTGCAATTTTCCGACATCATGGGATCGGAGGGCATCCAGAAGTGTCTGAACATCTTTGACGTCCGATAATGCATCTTGGCCTCCGTAGCTGAGGAATAGCGGAAGGTCGTGAGGAATGTTGGACAAATTGTAAACAGGTGGCTTGGGTTGTCCATAGTGTCCTTGGTTCTCTTTGGTCTTCCCGTAATCGTATTTCCTCACAATTCCATCGCGTACGGCTGTGTACGTCAATTGTTATTTCAAGGAGAATTCAAACAAATGAAAATCACTACTTACAACGAATATGCATCGTTTTAGGAAGCATCAAGAAACCAAAAAAAACACAATTTGAAAAGACTCACTTTGAGCAAAGTGAACTAGGTTTAGAGTTGAAGTAGATTGGGGCTCGTTTTTCAGGAAATACTGGATAGTTGAGGCATTGAGACAACAATTTGTGCCTGTCATTTTTACCGAACAAGAAAGCAATTATTTTATACTATTAGTAAAATTTATAAGTTATTTTCAATTCACTTGAAATTTACAATATTAATCATGAATTTCACCATAATAATTGATATTGTGAAATTAAAGCGATAGGTACCTGTTAGTGCGGTGAGCATGTCGTAGCAATCCACCCCGGGTTGAGCACAAAAATACTTCAAGAGACTTTCCACTGCCTGTCTGCTAGCAAAAATATACAAACAAGTTAAAACGAATCAATACAATGTGCACACCAAATATGTAGTGTTTGCACGTACCCTTTCGGATTGAATTCGGCAAATCCAAAAAATGAGGTCATCTGCAATATTGCCCAAAAAATAAGGAAGGAAAAAAAGTTGTTAATTATATTATGAAAAAAGTTTTATGGTTTAACAATGTCTTATTCCAGAGACCTAAATAATCCTTCTACATGGTTCCCAAACTTTGAATATGTGTAGGAAGGAACAACATTTGAGGGGGACTTACTTCACCCATGAAGGCTTTGGCAGCAACAACACAAAGTTTAGTGGTCATGTGACTCAGGTAAGCAATAGGGCTCAACAATGCCGCCGACTTCACCATGTTTATTTGCTTTCCTTCCGAAAACATAGCCAAAGCCATCAACGTTCCCTGAATTCCATCCATGAATGAAAACTATCAAACTTACAATTAACGTACCCATTCATTTATCTAGGCCAGTCAGGTGGTGTCCATCAGATAATAAATTAGAAATAAAAATCGAAACTGAATAATAATTTTCGAACAGAGAGAGTAATAGCTAGTAAATGAATTGGGGAGTAAGTACACTATGTACGTACCATGGAATGGCCAACGTAATGAATCTTTTGACCCGTTTGTTGGTGCACAAAACCAAAAACGGCGGGCAAGTCATGAGCCACCAAGTCATCCCAAGTCCAATTCCAGAATTCGGATTTGTTAGGGTCAAGGGACGCATGCTTTCTGCTGAATCTGGTTCCCCTGGCGTTGACGATCCACACGTCGAACCCGCTGTCTGCTAGGATGAACGCTAATGACTGTTGTGGAGAATTCAGCAGCCAAGTCACTCCATCCTATAAATTCCAATCATCAATCGACCCATTTCTTCTTTTTTTTTTTCAACTTTTTTTGTTTATTTATTTATTTTTTTTTTTTTGGGCCGCAATTAACTACAGAATGGAAGTCACGAAGTTGTTGTAACAAAAAGGGCCTCGGACAGGCGTTCAAGCCCATTAGACACAGCTTGCTGCCCAGCCCACAATCTCTCATCATTTTTATTTAATCTCTAATAGTCATAAGAATATAATTAAAACAAAAATAGTACTACTGTGCTAGTACAATATATTCCAGGATCTGATGGCATAGCCCGTCCTTGTAATCAAGATACCTTAATAGTTTTCAAATGTAGCACAGTTTCGGCTATTGAAAAGTTAGCCCGTTGTTCTAGATATGACTCTATTTTCACTCAATAGTTTTTAAACAAAATGCTGAAAATTGATTTCTAAAGGGGTGTACTAATAATTAATTAATGTAATTATGTTACGAATTCCAAACAGCGTAATGTGAATGTATACACATTTACATGAACCCACTACCCCATGATTAGATGCAACATGATCTGGTGTGCCTAGGAAAATGACGATGAACTAGAACATAAAACTTACTAATTTTTTTTGAGAAAGTAAAAAATTATTAATTCATAAAGGTAAAGTAATAGTCAAACCCTGAATCATGATTCCGTCAAGTGTTGGAGTTGTCGATTTTACACACTTGTCTAATACTAATTAACTGTCGATAATCCGTGATGATGATTTGGTTATGAAATGGGGTACCACTTGGCAACAATAATAATGATTAAAAAAAATCAAATAAAATGATTGTTAATTAGTAGAGGTAATTCATTATTTGATTGAAATTGGAGGAGCTTTACTTACCACAAGAACACCATGTTGCAACACAACTGGAGGCCTGTTAGTGGAATTATCCGGAACCACTCCTTGAGGTATCCTTTGCAAGTTTAATATGTATCCATTGTCCGTTTTCACCTGCACCCAACAACAATTATGTTTATCTATTCATTCATCCATCGACCATTGTAGTTGAACCCCGCCGCAACAAAACAATGCACACGCAAAAGTAATTCTTAAAATTACACTGCCCCTTTTTGACATTTCCAGTCTTTTTCACTTTCCATAAATTCTTGAGCCCTTCTCTATGATAACCCTATACAAATATGTTTAAACTAAAATCTTACACGTAAAAAAGAAGAATGGTGATCTCTATATTTTTAACACAGACTTCTCTACAATCCTACAACATTGGTTTTGTGTAAAACATCAGAAAACTACACAAAATAGGACGTCTAAATACGTGAAAAGAAAAACAAAAATTTGTAAATTTAACATTTTTGTATATTTGAATTTGTCAAGGTAAAAAACAAACTTTGAACAAGGCTGTAATTTATATTAAACACGTACATCAAACTCCTGGCACTTGTAGCCGTGTATTGCCACCGCCGACGCGCATATCCCAACTGGGGATGCATCAGCGTCGGCCGCAGCTAGGTGGCGCCGGAACGGTTGCCGACCGGCCCCGGCCACCCCCACAACCACAGCTAGCAAGCTGATCATGACGATGCAGGAGCTGCCGGTGCCAGCACGACCCATATTTCTCTTTGATTGAATTGATAGGCTTTTCCTACAAATTCACAGAGTAGGCTTTTGGTTTGTTGTTCAGGGCTGAGGCCTCCATGCAAATGTGGTGGTCTATTTATACACGGGGGGAAAATGGAGTGTTAGTGGGAACTCTATATTCAAATGGGAAGGAGTTGATGATTTTGGTGGGCTGCTTGTGTCTTTTTTTTTTTTTTTTGTGTGTGTGTGTGTGTCTCTAGTAGTATTATTATACATAATATAATGTAGTACCCCGAGTTGGTGTTATTTATACATTTGGGAGTTAATAACTAGAAACTGGCTTGTAAAGATCTTCAAGAGGTGGTGGACACTGGACAGTGGTCGCCCCGGTTTGCCGTATTATTTCACTTCCAACAACAAAAAAAAAAAAAAAAGATTTTAACTGTATTATAATGTGAGTTTTTTTTTTTAAATAAGATAGATGAAGTATTTAAAACAAAAAGATGATAGTTATTAGTAACTAATTATGTTAATTTAGGTGGAGATAATGTAGTTGGAACTAATAGTCAACCCACACATAAATTATCTTAATTTAGCTTTACTATCAGGAAAACGTAATTGGCCATGCACCTTCACCCTATCAAATAAAGAAATATAGTGTAGTATAACGACTCAATTGATTTCTTCAATAAGGCAAATAGACGCAAGCGGGATTGTTATCGCCTGAGAAGTTTTACTTGAGTCAGAGCGCCATTATGGATTACCTGATGATTGTTTCTAGAGGGAGAAGAAATTACAAATCAAAACGCATACCACCGTTTGATTAAAGGGAGATGACGCTACCTCCAAAATGGTAATCGGAGAGGGAATACAAAATTTTTATTATTATGAACACTAAAAGTTTCCTTTTTGACTTGGTAAAAAGTCTTATACATAGGAGAGATATTAGTTACAGTTCAATCAGCGACTGCTAACTATTGGATTTGTTCGGACCACAATTCTTTCACTTCTCATCAGAGAAAACCCAATAAAAAGTAATCAAATGATCATCTTCAACAAGAATAAGACACTTTTAAACCTTAGATTTTATTCAACAAGAAAATGTCACATGTCGTTTCTCATAAAATTTAATTTGGTAAACATTCTGTAAATACATATGTATATATATATAAATAGTTATATATATACATATTTATATTCTTAATCTAAAAAAATCAAATTTTGTTATTCGTAATAGTCTGTGGATAGTAAATGAACGCCACTATGGAAAGTTGTAGTCATGCATGCTTGCTTATGGCTCGAGGGCTTTGTCCCTTTATGTTAGCTTGAAAGCTAATTAATTAAAAGTCCGTGGTTACAACTTACAATTATATTCTTTTGGCATAAGTGTGGAATTATATTTTATGGGTGAGGAAACGACAAGGTACAAATTAGGGGGTTTTACAAAATGGAAGTTGGCTGTGACGGCGGTTCTAACATACTACTACATATAGTACTCAATTCAACCCAATCCCTCGCTTGACTACGCAACCCATGTACCCTATTGGGGATGAAGATGCCATGGTTGTTCCTCTTGGAAAAATTCCATGTTTTTCGAAACAAAGAAAACACCATTCCTTGCTTGTAATTATTGTAATATTTAGTATATTTCCTATTATGTTCTAGTTTAGGATTTCTTATTGTCTATATATAGTCTGTATATTGTGTACAACAGATTATGCATCTAATATAATTTCCCTATTCTAAGTGTAACAATCCGTAGTATTGCATTAATGTGTACATAAATCGTATAGAAGCTAGTTCCTTAATTTGATTAGCATTAAGTTAAACTATTCGGTAAAGCCGTGATAAAGGACCCTATTCTTCTTCCTACAGGAAAAGAAAAACTGTAACGATAACGTGTTACTCTTTTTATAGCAAAATGATTTTATGATTTGAAATTTCGTTTTTGATACACAAAGAGAAGGTTTGAAACTTGGACTTGAACTTGATGATTTGAATCGAAAACAAATAGTTTTTGTAATTGCCTCATTTATAATGCAAAATATAATGATACTTATTAATTTATTCTCAACTTGGCAATACTCATGAAACTCCACCAAATTGTTTATTAATTAAAATCATTGGGCAAGTTGAAAGCTTAAAGTAACTGATTGGAGTTGCATCATGCTTCACGGATCGATGTGATTGTACAAGTTGAAAGCTTTAAGGGAGTTGAAACTTGAAACGTTCATCGAACAGTTGCGGCGCGATCGATTCATAGATTTATGTTGAAGCAACTCAACGTCAACGCATTATCATAATATTTTTATTATATTTATCCTCATCAGTACGTATTGACAACTTAATTTGTTTTAATTAGTAATATGGGCAATATTCATTTGGAAATTGGGATTGCATGTCTAAGTTCACAAAAATCTGATGTATCATGTATCTATATATATCTTTTGGAGAATTTTTAATCAGACACATGCCGTAAAATTAGATAGGATAATCCACATGTCACAAAATTAGATAGCAAAGTCCACATGTCGCAATCAAATCACTCCATCATTTAATGGTAATTTTTTAATGTAAAATTATAAATTTATAGATAAAACTAAATTAATTAGGATATTTCCTCTTGACGGTAAATTTTACATTTTTATTTATTTTATTAGTCCTTGCATAATAATACTCTTTGTCATGTGACTCCCGTATTATGATTAATTGACTATTTTGAATTATATCTCTTTTAAATTTTCATCCAAATGATTAGAGTTTAGAGATCATCGACGTGCTACAAATTTGCGAAAAAGCATCCAATTTGGCGTGAAACCCAAATGATTAGATAACCATAAAACATGTGCGGCTATCTTTTACAAATTTACAAAAAATCATCCAATTTGGCGTGAAACCCAAATTACTAGATAACCATAAAACATGTGTGGTTATCTTTTATTTCTTTATATATATTAAATGAGAATTTTCAATCGAACACATGGCGTAAAATTAGATAACCTAATCCATATGGCACAAAATTAGATAGCCACATCCAAATGTCGCAATCACATCACTCCATCATTTAATGGTAATTTTTTAGTATAAAATTATAAATTTATAGATAAAACTAAATTAATTTAGAGATTCCCCTTGACAGTAAATTTTACATCTTATTTACTTTATTAGTCCTTGCATAATGATACTATTTGTTATGTGACCCCGTATTATGATTAATTGACTATTCTGAATTATATCTCTTTCAAATTTTTATCCCAATGATTAGAGTTTAGAGATCAACGTGCTACAAATTTGCGAAAAATCATCCAATTTGGCGTGAAACCCAAATTACTAGATAGCCATAAAACATGTGCGGATATCTTTTACAAATTTGCAAAAAATCATCCAATTCGGCATGAAACTCAAATTACTAGATAACTATAAAACATGTGCGGGTATTTTTTATTGAGCTTGGAGTAAACTGTACGTCATGGCACAATAATTAATGGTCATATATTGCTAAATACAAATGGAACAAATATAAAACAGATATCCTTTTACAATATTTTAAGAAAAATATATCACTTTTATGAATGTTTACTCTGGAGTCTGGATACATCGTTTATTTTTATTAAAAAATTTTACAGCGCACAGGAAAATTACACAAATCACCAATTTATGGAACAAATAAAATAGATAGGTATTTTTATTATTAATAAATAAACAAATTGACTATATTTAAGGAGAGTTTTCTATTGAACACATGACATAAAATGAGAAAGTGTGATTCGCATGGTAATAACCATTGATAACTAATTTTATTCGGTTAATCAAGAGCAAGCTAACTAATTTATAATTTAAATTATTTTCTGACACGCTCTTCATATATAGCAAACCTATTCGGATATTGATCAGGGATACTGTTGTTGATAATAGTTAAGGCTGGCGGACGAAGGGAAAGAAGACCTTGGCTAAACTTCTAAAGAGTTATTGGATCAATATCTTTTTTCTTTTTTAAGCAAAAAGAAAGAGAGACTTGCGAAAATTTGAGCTGAGAAGCACAATAATACACTTAGAGGGATGAATATAGTAACCCCCCCAACACAAATCCCGAAGAATCTCCAATATATTAATTAATGATAAAAGAGCTGGCAGTACCTAAGACTTACCAGGATACAGAAATGTGTAGCGATATAATAAAGTCTATCTATTACAACAAAGGTCCACGTTATGTAGCCACCTTACTGAGACCACCAGACTCTCACATATGGCATAGACTGTTGATCTAAGAGGAGAAGGCTCTTGGTGTAACTCGGGCGATCACCAAGACCCGCATATTGTTCGGAATGTCCAGCTGAAGTCTTTCGAGCTAAGCTATCCGCAACCGCATTAGGCTCTCTGACAATATGATGTATTGTATAACCCCTTCTCTCAATAAGAGCATGAATCTCTACCATTTCAAAGTGAAATTTCCAAGGAAAGGGACCCCCGTTGGATAAGATGTTTGCCAGCATTTGGCTATCCGTTTGGATTTTGATATGCATCAGCTCTAGGGTTTTACATTTTCGTATTCCAAACAAAAGGCCAAACATTTCTGCTTTAAAAAAATAAAATAAAAGATTCACCACAATGGAGCGTACTTAAATATAATTGAATACGGGTCTAATACTAGGAAGTACAGTATCTTAATCACTAGGTTGTTATTCAATTCCCTTGGGTCGACATCTTACTTCTCCCTCTGTTTCATATTTCTCCCTTTGGCTTTTGCCAAAAAATCAATCTATTTCGTGTTTCTCTCTTTGACTTCTGCCAATAAATCAATCTAAGACTTTATAGAAAACTATTCTGGTCAATCAGACGAAGCGTCTATTGGTTGGAACATAGAAAGAGCAAAGAAGTACCAAATTTGTATTTAGCAAGTATTTTTAATTATTATTATTATTATTATTATTATTATTATTGTTATCATCAATTACTACTACTTGTGATGTTACTGTTCAAGCTTAATTGGCCGAAAGGGGAGATCTGTACGGTCCCTTTGACTATTCCTTCCT